TAACAGTGATTATATCGACTTTATAAGATTGTTTTAATTTTAAACTGTTACATTATGTTCTGCTCAGATCACATTGAGCTAAATAAGATCAAATCTGCTGAYYTGTGTTGTGAAATGAGACGTTTTCCTGTTTATCTTCTGTTAATAAATCCATAACACAAACAGCTTTTCTGGCATTATTTAAAACATTAGATAAGATTATATAAACTGTAAAATATTAATAATGGTTGGATTAATATTATTATTAATAGTTTTAATGATTTCTACATTGTCAGTCCTTTTTTCTGCTCTGTTGTCAACATTAATGGGAAATCCAGAGTCTTGCTCGTTTAGCGTTAGCCGTTAGCTTCACCAGTCAATCACACGGTCACGTGGTTGTTGCGCACTCCAGTTCTATAGACCCTCCTTGGGTGTAATGTAACCTTATAACACCTGACAGTGTCTGTTATAAAATAAAATTGGTATTGGACAAAATCTGAATCATCAGGTTAGACTTTTTAAAGATAATCGACCAGAAAACTGCAAATGGTGCTAAGAGTTTCACCTGGGCGGAGCAGTAAACAAGGCAGGTGCAGGAAGCTGTTTTTCTTTCATGGTAACTTTATTAGTTACAGTTCTTCTCAGTTTTATGTCTTGAATGTAAATATGAAGCACAAAACCACGATGTAATGAAAATGTTAAAAATCTTTAATGAAAATAATAATTTAGCTTTTTATCATTGGGATAATATATATTAAATGTTAAAGGTTTCTGTCAAAAATCTCATACTAAATCATTAATTCCTGCTTTTATCACAAGTTGGTTGAATGTTTTCACTTTTTTGCAGCTGGTAAGAACAATCCATTTTCAATATGTTATACAGTCCCACTTTGTGTCCCAATAACTGATGTTTTTTTTTTTGATAAATTACTTGAAAAAGTAAAACTATCAATGTATATTTTTTGGGGTTTTTGTTATTTTTGGTCGTGCGCTGTGGTTGAACAGCTGTGACCTTTTGTTGCGCCAGACTAATTGAAGATCATTCGTCTCTGCCGGTCTAAAGCCACTTACG